AGGAAGAAGTTAGCAATGAAATTCTTTTCATACTTGACAAATTCCAGAGACTGCCAGAAGCCCTTTACCTCGCAGGGAGCCATTCTCTGCGGAACTGCGCTTCTATTGTCTGCGCATCTCCACTCGCTGAGAAACTGCATCCTGGGAACTGGCTCTCGGGGTGCCTGGCATGGAGGTGGTACTGCCAGAAGCTGCTACAGAACCGTGCATTTGAATGTCAGTCTGGGCTAGGGACCAGGGACGTACCCGAACGATACCACGCCTGGCCTATTGGTCTCAGGTCCCTATTGATGAGCCACTGGGAAGCTCAGGGCACTGTAAGCCCAAAAGGCACCGCTGAGGGCTCAGTCTGAACCACATCTGGAATCTTCTAATCTTCTGTGCAGTTCCCTCCCAGACCCTCACCTTATCCCACCCCCACAGGCCGAGCCTGGTGAGGGTCCAGTCCCCACAACGGAGCCAGGGTGCTTGAAACCAGTGGTGTGGGTAACAGCTCACAGTGTGACCTTCCTCCGGCTCTGGAATCCCAGCTTAGCCACACTCTCTTCTTCCAGCACAGCTTGGGGTGCTGGTGTGGAATGATGAGGGCTCCGAGGAAAACTAAAAGGCTTCTCTCGACGCTCTGAACGTAGATAGACTGGCTTTTCCAGGACCTCTGCTCCGGAAGCAGTTGGATAGTTCAGTCACAGTCAGATAGTGTCCCTCCTACTCCCTCGGAGCCTGAAAACCCGGGTCCTAGGAACTATGGGCACTGGTGCCCAGGAAGCAGCCATTCCTTCATTCCCTTTAAAAAATATATATATTTTTTTTATTGATTTCAGAGAGGAAGGAAGAGTGATCGTTGAGAAAGAAACATCAATGATGAGAAGCATTGATAGGCTGTCTCCTGCATGCCCTCTACTGGGGATCGAACCTGAAACCCTGGCCATGTGCCCTAACTGGGGATTGAACTGACACCTCCTGGTTCATAGGTCAACTCTTAACCTCTGAGCCATACTGGCTGGGCCGGAGGATATTTTTCCATTGATCTTTTTTAGAGAGAGTGGAAGGGAGGGAGAGTAGAGAAAGAGAGAGACATCGAGACATCAATGTGACATTGCCTTGTCAGAGGTGACACGCGAACTCATTTTTTTGGTTGATTTTTCTTTGTTAAATGGCATTTAAATATATAAAATAAATATCAGAAATATAAGTCTTTGTTTTACTGTGGTTGCAAAGATCAAAAAATTTCTGTATGTGACACGGCACCAGAGTTAAGTTAGGGTTTTTCAAAATGCTAACATGCCGAACTCAAAAGGTTCGCCATCACGGGGCTAGGGCCATTCCTTCATTGCTTGATTTGATCATTGCTCGTTGCTGGATTACTATGTGTTAGGCAGTGTGCTAAGACAGGAAACTTCACAAGGAGGCAGAGATACGGCCCCACCCTCACAGAGCTCTCAGCAGCGTGGGGGAGAGACGTGTGAGCAATCGTCCAGGTTAAGCAGAGAATGCTAGGAAAGCACGGAGCACGGACCCCTGACCTTTGGGAAGGAATGGGGTCCGGGTGGTAACAGCCATGCAAAAGGGCTAAAATTTAGGGGCACAGGGAGGCAGCAGGGAAAAGAGAGGAAGGTGTGAGACTCAGAATGCACCTGGGCCTTGATGGAACTTCGCTTGGCAGATGGACTATTCCAGATGTTCCTTTATTACCGTTCGTTCTATGTGTAGGCATTTCTGTCTTTGAGCTTAAAGAAGCAGAATAGCTTCTGAAGCAATTAAATGAAATTCTGAATATAGCAATATACCTCAGTCTCTGACTTCCTCCTCGAAAACCTAGTACTCAAATTGCCTTACGTTTTATGACCTGATGATCCTGGCCCATCCCCAAGGGTTGAAGAGAGTTCTTGGGAATGAGCTCCTGAAAGCAGTGGTCCGTGAGCTCACAGAGAGAACGGTGAGGGACCCAGGACCTCCCGGAAGATGATTCCACTCCTCTTCTCTCCCTTCCCAACACAGGTGATTATGGTGACAGGGGATCATCCCATCACAGCCAAGGCCATTGCCAAGGGTGTGGGCATCATCTCAGAAGGTAATGAGACCGAAGAGGACATTGCTGCCCGGCTCAAGATCCCTGTCGACCAGGTCAATAGCAGGTGAGACCCCTGAAGAACTCAGATCTGCCACGTCTTCCCCTCTCATCAGCCTGCCCCACCCAGATCCCACTCACTACCATTCCTGAAGGAACCTGCAGCAGGTCGGATGTGCAGGGTTTACGTAGTGCAAAGTAAAGTGTAATAGGAAAACGACCACGTGGGTTTCAGAAGACATGGAACAAAGATCGAAACAGAGAAAGGGGAGGAATGGTTGAGAAAGGGGGGAGGGGATGGCATGTGTCCATCCGGGAACAGTGAATGGCTGGGGGCCAGTGAGGAGGCTGGGCTGAAAGGAAAAACAAGGGGGTTATAGTAAAAGTTGGTTAAGGGGCAACTGATGAATTCTCGACACTCTGAACTGACCTTTTTTTTTTAATATATTTTATTGATTTTTTATAGAGAGGAAGGGAGATAGATAGTCAGAAACATCGATGAGAGGGAAACATCGATCAGCTGCCTCCTGCACATCCCCCACCAGGGATGTGCCCGCAACCCAGGTACATGCCCTTGACCAGAATCGAACCTGGGACCCTTCAGTCCGCAGGCCGACGCTCCATCCACTGAGCCAAACCGGCTTCGGCTGAACTGACCTTTCAAAATTCTTCTTGCACCCTGGCCGGTGTGCCTCGGTTGGAGCGCCGTCCCAAGCACTGAAAGGTTGTGGGTTCGATTCCCGGTGGGGGCACATACGGGAACCGATCCATGTTTCTCTCATACACAGATGTCTCTCTCTCTCTCTCTTCCCCTCTCCTTAAAATCAGTAATAAATAAATAATCACACAAACAAACTCATATCCTCCAGTGAGGATTAAAAGCAAAACATAATTTAAAAATCAAATAATTTTTTTTTTTGCTCAGGGATGCCAAAGCCATTGTGATACATGGCTCAAAACTAAAGGATCTGAACTCAGAACAGCTTGACAATATCCTCCAAAACCACACGGAGATTGTGTTCGCTCGGACCTCCCCGCAGCAGAAGCTCATCATTGTAGAGGGATGTCAGAGGCTGGTAAGGAGGCAGAAGAGCCGGGAGATCTGCAGACATCGCGTGGCATGGCCCAGGCCGACACCAAGCAGAGCGATGCCTGCGGGGCCCGAGGACACTCCAGAATCCCATCTTGAACCTCGGAGATGGGCAGCAGTCTGCGGGCTCCCTGAGAGGGTTTTCCCCTGAGAGTTTCAATATATTAGGAGGAACAGGAGAAGGAAGGGCGAAGAGGCCTCCCTCAAGCATGATTATATCAAGAAACGGGGGATGATGAAATCAAACTGATTTGGGGAACAGGTCTTGAATCTGACAGTCATTATTTCGCTCCCTCTGTGCTTCTCCCAGGGGGCCATCGTGGCGGTGACGGGCGACGGGGTGAACGACTCCCCGGCGCTGAAGAAGGCGGACATCGGCATCGCCATGGGCATCGCTGGCTCCGACGTCTCTAAGCAGGCAGCTGACATGATCCTGCTGGACGACAACTTCGCCTCCATCGTCACGGGCGTGGAGGAGGGTGAGGAAGCAGAGTTGGGACTTGACCCTCAGACTCACGTGGGAGTTGGTGTGCGGTGCTCTCATTCCCATTGTCCATCATCCAACTTGGATGATGCTGTAGAGACTGGGGAAAATCTATTCTATTTAAAATCATTTTTCTTGAAATATTAATGTTTATTGCATGTCAATGGCTAATTATTTTGTATCTACAATCTGGTAATAGGTTTCATTTGTATATTGTTAAAAAAAAAAAAAGACTGGGGAAAATCACTGTAAGACAAAATTTTGCAAACCAGATTCAGTTGGTACTTATAGACCATTATAATCAGGAGCCCTTTTTTATTAGATTGGAGGAAAGGCCAGATTATTTAGCAAGACTAGGACTATACTATAGTATCTTCTTTCTTTCATAAATATATACATATATATTTTATTGATTTCAGAAAGGAAAGGAGAGGGAGAGGGAGATAGAAATATCAATGATGAGAGAGAATCATTGATTGGCTGCCTCATGCACACCCTACACTGGGGATCGAGCCCGAAATCCAGGCATGTGCCCTGACCAGGAATTGAACCATGATCTCCTGGTTCATAGGTCGACGCTTTGAGCCGTGCCAGCCGGGCTGTAGTATCTTCTTTCTTCTCTCATGAAGATTCAAGCAGGTCCACAACAAATTCCACAACATAGCCATCTCCCTGGACTACTTCATACTCCATATGTCAGGAGGGCCTCGTAGGGACCTATTCCATGAATGATGTTGACATATTAAGATCAGTTGGAGCCTGATCGATAAATTGATTGCATGAGCCAAACTTATTACCTCTTTCCCAGAGAATTCTGAAGACAATACCCACTGGTAAATGAGAATTCCAGAATTCTGATTCCCAGGCTTCCTGCTTTCTGCCTGGAGCTATCTTACTAAAACTAACATAATAGGACAATAGTTATCGTTTTATTGAGACCTCAGGTGATCCAGATATTGTTCAATATTTTATATTCAGTTCAATACATTTTTTTGAGCACCAACCATAGTTGTGCCGGGTACTATTCTAGATGCTGGGGATGCAACGGTGAGGAATGAAAAGACGCACAGTCCTGTTCTCGTGTCATTTCATTTCTAGCAGAACAAGACAGACAATAAACTGTAGAGTATAGTAAAGGACGCTAAGTGCAATGAAAACAATAAAGCAGGGGTCCCGGTAGAGATGACAGTTTTTGAAAGGGTCATCAGGGAGGAAATCAAACCATCTTACAAGGCAGAAGGTGAGGAGCAACCAAAGTCACAAGCCAGTTATGGCAGAAAATGAGATCAGAACCTAAGCCCAGGTTCTTTCAACTTTGGCCTTAACCTTCTCACCACTTTTATATTGGGGTTCACAAGCGCCTCTAAGTATTAACCGGGCCCAACCCTGCTTAATAAGCCATGTTGAATCCAAGAACAAAGAGTGACCACCGAGGCCTAGGACCTCCAGACACTTTCACGGGTCACGACACTGCTTTACAGTGGTCTCTCTGTCCAGGAGCTGGTCTCTGGGAGGTGTGTCCTCTCTATTGTTCTCACAGAAGGTTGACCATTCCCCCCAGGCCGCCTGATCTTTGACAACCTGAAGAAATCCATCGCGTACACCCTGACCAGCAACATCCCCGAGATCACGCCCTTCCTGTTCTTCATCATCCTCAGCATCCCCCTGCCTCTAGGCACCATCACCATCCTCTGCATCGACCTGGGCACTGACATGGTGAGGACCAAACCGGGACCCAGCTGCAGAACTCCTGTGAGACGGACTGAGCAGTAGGAGGACTCTGTGTCCAGGGACAGGGACCGAGCTGGAATGACTTCTGTGTTTCCTTCTGAATTTTGTGTCCCCCTGTTACTCCCCCCCTCCATTCTCAGGTCCCTGCTATCTCTCTGGCTTATGAGACAGCTGAGAGTGACATCATGAAGCGGGCTCCACGGAATCCAAAGACTGAGAAACTGGTGAACGACCGTCTCATCGGCATGGCCTATGGACAAATTGGTGCGGCCAGAGCGCGGGGGAAGGGAGCGGGGAATGTTTGCACCTGTCTAGTCATTGGAGCCATCTCAGTTGGGAAGTCAGTTGGTTCTTAACCACAAACTGTGTTAGGCCCTGGGAATACAAGAGATCATTGATCTATGGTCTGCCCTTGACTTAACGCCCAGCCAGGAAGGGACAAATATATATAAGATGATAGCATCTTTCCAAGGGCCAAAAAAATGAGCATAGACAGGAGTACAAAAGCAAGCAGGCTCACCAGTCATGAGGATTGTCAGACGTTTTATGAAGGAAACAGGACTTAAACTTGATGCTGAAAGATAGGGCTTAGATTAAGTGCAGTTAAGAAGGGAGGGGGGAGGCGGGGCGGGCGGGGAAGAAGAGAGGAGAAATTCACATGGTCTGGCTGTTGAAGGGTGAATAAGCCAGTTTATTCCTGATAAAGGAGCAGTGCAAAATAAGGCTCTAGGCAATTGGTCCAGGTTTGAAGTACATTTGAAAACCATTAGATGTCTTTATTCTTGAGTTGCCAGGTGCAGTAGGGTGTTTCAGGAGTAGAATGAGGGGTGGACAGGGAAGAGATTGAGGACAGGGGAACCTGACTCAGAGAAAGGCTTCAAAAGGCAGCAGACCTTGGACGTGGTCCATCCCAACATCTAAAGGAGGAAACACACAGAAAAAGTAGGGATGTAGGAGCCAGACCTATGTCTGAATCCCCATTTTACCACTTCCTGCATGACCCTGGACAATGACTGAATCATTTTTGTGCTTTTGTTTCCCACTTAAGAGATGTAAATAATAGTTCAGACTTGTGAAGAGCAATGTCCAGGGCATCTGCACAGTGCACAGCTCTATAGTTAGTGGCTACTGCTGTGGTCCAGGCATGGGGAATTCAGGTTTTGAGTAAGGGAGAGGCAAGGGCCTGATAAG